TTTTTTTTTTTTGTGAGAGATAAACGCTAAAAGGACAAGGATTTTTTTATGAATCACGGACGTCGAACAGGGTTCGTCAGGTTTCGTCAGGTTTTTTGCATATACTGTTGAACCTCGAAGTTAATTCGTTCCTGAACGCCGTGAATCGAAAAGATCAAAAACTGAAACAGTTAACCCATAGGAACCAATGCTAAATGGATGAATCATTTCCTGGACCCTGGATGACTGTTTTTTTTTTGTTTTTTATTGTTTTTTTTTATTATTTTATTTTATTTTTTATTAGTTTTTTTAGTTTTTTTTTTTGTTCTTCTTTACATAAAAAGTGCTTCTGTATAGGGATGTCGATATTAACTTTTGTTCCGTTATCCAATATATCGATATTGTCCACACACTTAACTTCCAATTCCGATGTCTACCAACACTGGTAATATTTATTTATTTATCTGTACAAACCACTGTATGAGTATGAGATTAATTAAATGAGCTGCAATGCTGCCATCTAGTGACTTTTATTTAATATACAGTCGTTTATCCCCAAAACCAGAGCTTTCAACTTCTCCACAGCTCCCTCTACTGCTCTACTACTCGGACTACTGATACTTTAATTGTGGATAGAAACCTAGACCTAGAATGCAGTCCAGTTTGGTTAAACATTAAAATATCTAGAATGAGAACCACAAATTACAAGCCTCATCCCATATACAGCACCTCTTTATCATGATGTAAACTTATTGCATTTTGATTAATTTTAAATTGCACGATTTGCTTCAGTGGAGGGTGAAATGTACTTTTTCTTTTGTGCCTTTTTTTTCCAATTTCTATCATTGTAAGCAAGAGGATAGAGAACAGGGGAGGAGGGGTGGAATGAACACATGGACGTCTTGTGTAATTAAGAAACTGAGGCATTAGAACAGGCGTTGCCTTCACTGGCTGTAATTTATCAAACATAGTCTTAATTATATTGTTTACACAGATGTCTGTGTGCTTGCTCCTGCAACAGTTATTCCCTTATAAGAGCCAAATATTATCACTGGTCTCACAATGTTTTGTGAAGCTGTTCACTGCAACATAAAACAGAGGAATTAAATCCCTTTGCACATTAAATAATTCATACAAGTGTTACTGTAGAAACAGCTCCTTTTCAGCGCAGTGACATCTGTGGATGGAGGAGAGCGGGGGGGCTCTGATGTTTGTTCTTTAAATAACTTGTTGTCGCCACATAATCAAATAATGCAGGTGTTAATAATTTTATCAGGATGTGAATGCGTCGCCGTAGTTAGCACTCGAGGAGCAGAACAGTTTGAGTCAAGTTGTAGCCACTGAAAGCACCAATGCATTTTTTTCTCTGTTAAAGACGTGCTAATAGATTTAAGCTAGAATAATTGCACGTACACTGGAGTCAAATGGGCTCCAGAGAAAAAGAAAGCGGTGCGCGCTGCTTCCCGTTTTAGCCGGTTAACAAAACACAGAATCCTTAAAGTCGGAGTCACACCCGTCGCTGGTGTAGGAGGAATGTAACCGCTGTCTCTATCACTCTCTTTTATTAGACCAGATCAGACCGGTGGTCTGCCTGCCCTCATTCCCAGTGTTATCTCGGGGATTAAGGGGCTTGCAGTCTTTGACCACCCTCTCCTCGCCTGGTCGCACACACAAACAAATACACCCAGGAGCTCTCAGCAGAACACAGCCGTGGAAGCACACATTCGCCCACACTTGTGTTTAGAGAGGGAGCGTTACCCAGTGGACTTAGAGGAGGATGACTGATTTTAGTTAGAGATTTGTGGAGATTGTTGTTCCTGTGCTCTAAAACTTTAAAACAGCTTTTTTTCAGGGTGTGTTGTGGACAGACAACAGAGAAGAGGAAAAAAATTCAATGTAAAATTCAATTAAGAATCCAGTTTAAATGACAACGGACAGATATGGCAAAAATAAAAACTAAAATTGTCGCAGTACCATTTTTTCCCCGAGTACATACCATTTGTGTACTTGCAAATACCGACTACTATCACGGATACTTCTCTAGGTTCTCCATAAATATACAGTGAAGTATAAGGCAGTGTTATATAGGTGGAACAGCTCTGAGGGAAATGGGGTGACTGGCAGTGTTTGTGTGTGTGTGTGTGTGTGTGTGTGTGTAGGCAGCAAATATTACGATATTAAATAAAAACGTCTCAAAATGCACACTGTTTATAATTTATTCAATTTACTAATACAGTTTAATCCCGAGCCCGGCCACCATTGACACGAGCACCTTATTGACACGTACACGTCATACAGTGGTTTGTGAGCTGTGTGTTTTTCTAAGAGAGTAGGATTTCAGAGCCATTAAAACAAATCAATGAGCTAAAATAAAAAAAAATGTCATAAAATGTGTTGAACTTAAACATAACCTTTAAGGACTAAGACAGAAATCCTACATAAACATATCACACACCATGCCCTTCAGCAAGGAGAAGGTTTAAGGTAATGTCCATTAGGATGTTTAATAGAACTAGTGCCCTGGACATTGACATGACAGGTTTCTATGTTAAAAAAAAAAAATGTGCATGAATCCAAGGTAACGTATAGAGCCTGTGGTTTTTCCAGTGAGTGTGTGTGTTTTATCAGACATTACCGAAGGATTTGACAGCACTTTACAGAACATGTCATAATAATTAGGCAAGGCTGATGCACATTAGCGTGTTATAACTGTAATAGTGAAAAACATAAGACTGTGGTCACTGTTAACCTTGGTATAAAAGAAATGTTGCAGATGTAAAGATACAGCATAGAAAAGCAAACAAAATGTATGATATTAAGTCATTTCAAGTTTTTTTCATTTATATATACGTATATAGTATATTTGAATTTAAGCCACTTAGCTGTATTCTTATACTGTATATGTAATAAACACACTCTTTGTTAATCATCCCGAACAGCAACACATACATACATACATACATACATACGTACATACATACATACATACATACATACGTACATACATACATACATACATACATACATTAATACATACATACATACATACATACATTATAATTATATATGCATGTTTATACATTTATACATTTATAATACACATTTACATGTTTTCATGCCAAAATATAGGATTTAGCTAAATATATTTTTACATTAGCATAACGTCTATGAAATGAAATGAATTAGCTGCGTCTGGATCAAACTTGAGGGAAAACAGAATCAGTGACCACCACGTAATCTTTATAGCTGATATATCTGCACACAGCCAAGTCTCCGAAGCTTACTCTTCAAAATTTAGGGGGAAAAAAAAGTTACAATCTTAAATCCGACCTTGTTCCTTCTCTTACCAAGGTCTGACGTCAGGTCACTCAGGTCCAACATCCACTTTGAAATTGCTGAACTGTAAAGATGCCAAACAACAATGGGTTTAACCTTGAAGCAACAATGAACCTCTTGGACATAAAAAAGTGGGTGTGATTAATTTGAACCTTGTGTGTGCACTGATAACTGGTAACCTTTAACACATCCTGGACGAGACTGAATAATCAAAAAAACTCTTTCTCGCTTCCTTTCTCACTACACGATAACTGCCTGGAATCTTACTTAAAGTATATTGGGTTTTGTGTTGTTTATTTTCAGTATAAATATTCCTCACTCTTTTGTTTCTGTCAGACACAAATGGGCACGTAGCCCCGTGCACTTACACACCAAAAGACGACAAATTAGCTGTCAGTTTTACTAGCCATGTGACCTCAAAAGCAAAGAGAGGGGAGATAATGATCTTACACACACACACACACACACACACACACACTGTCCAAGGACTTTAAGCTCTGGATTGATGGATCAAGGAGGACTGGCATGAAGATAGAGAAGGGCAAATGTGATTATTGCATGACAAGCTTGAGCTGCTTGAAGCTAAGTTAATAAACTGTATTGCATGCATAAAATTAAAGTTCTTATGATTAAAGTTGGGACGCAGACCTGCTCAGTCTGCGGTGAATAAAATGAAAGTTTTTGTATAATTTATCAATCCCCTAAAGGGAGTTTTCAGGACAATCGTCTGCTTAAAGCAGAGTGACATATTTTGTGAGTATAATGAAATTGCACTTTATTCCCCGTTGACTATTACTTTAAGAATATCATCAACATGCACTCAGTAAAACAAGGTCAACAGGCAATGGCTTTCAAAGAACAAAGAATTATAGCATTTAAACGTTTTAGTATAATCACGATTGTGTTTGTTTGTCTTGAGACGTGCAGAATTGATGTTGGCATCAGTTACAGTGATGTTTTTTTTTTCTTTTTCTTTTTTGTCTTTTTAAGAGCTTAATGGTAAATTAGCCCTTTATCAAATATTATTGAAAGCGAATGTTATAGATTAAAAGTGCCTCCAGGGAGGAGAAATCCTCCTGAACAATTTATTCAGTGATGATATAATCCACAAAACGTCCTACTCCAGACACCTTGTCTGTTAAAGACAGCAAAGTTAAAGCATCAAATGTATGGAAGCTTTAATACATTTCCCATAAGCCCCATCACCAGACTGTCCGACCGGAGACAGTCCTCCTTTAATTGTAAAATAATCCATAATAATAGGTCCCCCTTCTCGGCCCACGTGAAACCTCTGTCGTAAAGGTTTTACTACTTGTGGGTTTGATAAAACAGTACACTAGGAAAAAAAAACAACAAAAACCCTGAAAAACTAGTGTTCCAGAAACTAGTGATTCCCAGACTTTCAGCACCAAGCAAGCAAAAGCTATTTTGGTCCGTCTCCCTCCTGTGCTGATGCACTGACTGTGCTCTGATCCCTTTGTCCATCAGAGAGACAGAACATTTTCAGTCTAATGCAACTGGACCCTCACTAATGACAGCAAATAGCCCTGTCGGCTACATGACAGCAGCTGAGAACAATACTTAATGTTGACATCACTTGCTGTGGACTTCTATTTTGGTTTTCTTCCTTTTATAGTGAGCCAGTGGAAATTGCTATCTGGCTCCCCAGACAATGCACATATAAAAGCATTGGAAGAGACGGTGTCTCTCTGTGCTGGGGGATCACTTTCAGTCTTTTAGCCTCTTGTTTTTTCCGTAGCAAGTACCAGCTTACCTCTATATCCCCTAAAACATGGCGCCTAAGAAAATTGAACCAAAGAAACCTGAGCCCAAAAAACCAGAGCCAAAGAAAGACGTGGCCCCGGCGAAACCAGCTCCACCTCCAGAGCCTGAGCCTCAGCTTCCCAAGGAGCCTGAGTTTGACCCCAAAAGCATCACCCTTGAGTACACCGCCGACCAGATTGAGGAGTTCAAGGAGGCCTTCAACTTGTTTGACCGCACACCAACTGGAGAAATGAAGATCACCTACGCCCAGTGTGGGGATGTGATGCGAGCTCTCGGGCAGAACCCTACCAACGCAGATGTGCTGAAAGTCCTCGGGAAACCCAAGCCCGAGGACATGAGCACGAAGATGGTGGACTTTGAGACCTTCTTGCCGATGCTGCAACATATCTCGCGTGCAAAAGATCAGGGCACCTTTGAGGATTTTGTGGAGGGGCTCAGGGTTTTTGACAAGGAAGGCAACGGCACCATCATGGGCGCCGAGCTGCGTCATGTGCTGGCAACGCTTGGGGAGAGGATGACGGAGGATGAAGTGGACAGACTCATGGCAGGACAAGAGGACGCCAACGGGTGCATCAACTATTCGTCCTTTGTGAAGCACATTCTCTCCGGGTGATTGGGACACTGAGCTGTAAAGACTCTCCACTTATCGAAATCTTTGAAAAGACATTCGTCCATCTTGAGGTGAAAATGATAATTTAGTCAAAGTTGTTTTTACATTGTCAAAAGTGGGAAGTGGTGCTTGCTCAAGTTACAGCGACTGCAACTTTAGATCTTTTTCCTCACCAAAATGAAATTCGAAAAGATGCCAACTCCTTAATATCGAGCTCCCTGACGAAAAGTCGATAATAAAGAAAACATGATTACAAATTGTCTCACAAATGTCATTTCAGCATGCCAACATATGCAGCTCAGTTAAAATAAGAATTGACGAAAGTGCCCATTTGGCGACCGTTAAACCTTATCCAATTAACTGTGGTTAATGTGTCGTCAAATGCGGTGCTGTGATTGGGACAAAGACGCGTTGAGACAGCAGATGAAAACAATAGGATTTGATTCCCTCCAAATATAGAACAGAATGTATTCTCTCCTACTTATGTGAAAAGTATCTGTATCAGCCTGCTTGCCATTGTGTTTGAGGGGCAGCTGCTGTGGATCAAGATAAACTCCCACAATGTGGACACGCAACATTTGACAACTACAAGACAGGTGCTCCGAGGAATCTCCTACTCATCTGTTATGGTGGCTGAGAGTATAGTCTTTAACTGTTTCTTTGTGTAAAAAAATAAGTTATCATCTCCAAGTATCACAGTTTTACACCATAATGAACTCACGGCTGTAGTCACCCTGTATTTTTGTGACCAGATTAGCTCATTTTCTCCAACTCTCCAATTATCTCCAATGAAAATAGACAGTGTCACAGGTGAAGGACATGTGTGGCCCTACTGAATGTGACTTTTTATATTAATAGAATAACACCAAAACAATAAATTCGACTTTAGAGAGTTTGTTTTTTTGTGAGAACTTAAAATGCATTGACTGAAGTGGAAGACAAAAAGCTTTCACAGTGAGGCAGAGATTCTAGAAGGCCACCTACTGGTGGACTTGACATCGGAACCAGACGCAGTGGAGAATTTTGTTGTTGCTGTTAAAAAGTAAAAGGTTATTTCTTTTTTCATTCCATTATTTTTGATACACCACTGTCCACCAGAGGGACAGCTGAGGGAGTCAACCCTCCATAGTTCATCTCAAATGTCAAACCAAACATGGATCAATCAATCAAACAAGCATTTACAGTATTTATAAATCCCTTGACAACATCCCAAAAGTCACCAGTGCTTTGCAGTGAAACAAAACATTGTAGCAAATTTAACACAAACAAACAGGATTCTTGTTAGTTGTTTTTTTAACAAATGTTTCAATGTAAAACAAGTAAAACCCAACAATTATATGTAATATAATATAATACTTGGTATTTTTTTTACATTTTTTTTAAATGTAAGAGTCAGAACAGAAACAGAGAGTAAGGCATACTATACATACTAATGAATAGATATAATTATGCTATACAGCAGTGGGTTTAAACAGAAAGAGAGAGGTAATGGGTGTGTTAAGATACTGACAGTAGTATAGAATATTATTATTGTTCTGTTGAACATAATAACTTTCCATATTCCAAGAAAAACATAGTTGCGTGCATCCTGTTATGGTGCATAACCCTGTGCATAGAAATGACCAATTGTCTTGTCATGTATAAACACATCTGGTCCCTCGTCTCATCGTGTTCCCTCGGCTCAGGGTTATACTGTTTAAAGAATTTCATCTTTCTCTTTGTAGGCTTGATAATGTTGCGAAAGAAAAAAGTATTCAAAGAAAAAAAAAAAGAGTGCGTTCCACCTGAACCCACTCTCTGTATTTTGGCGGTAACTTTATCAATAATTATTGCTTTATTTTTGCTATTATCTCAAGAGAAGCTGCAGAAAACCTGCTGTAAACCCATGTATTAAACAGTGTTGTTTACTCATCCATTAATGCTAACGCTTTTGAGATCAATCAATACATTTACACTGAAAATACAATTATTTCCGTGCTGCTGTGTGGGACCCGATTTCAGAAGTCACACAGCCTGAAGGAAAATGTGAACACTGGTTTGTTGAAGCAGATTCTGAGGCTTTTCGCCAAATGGCTGTAGGGTGATTACCCTGTGGCTGGGCATGGTAGTGTATTTATCAGAGACCTTCACTCCTGAATATATGCCACTGGATACAAGGAAGACAGCCAGCTCCCTGGCCAGGCTCACATACTGCATCCAATCCTTCCAGTATTCAGCTGCCTTGTGCCCACTCTCTGGACAACAAACTCAACATCTCAGCCCAAAGGGAGATGAGGAACTGTACCATCATCTGCTTTAATTAGATCATGCTGATGGAAGAGATTCCAGGCTGTCGTACCACTCCAGAGCATCACAGTTGTTTGGGTAGATGAGTTGGAAAGACTTTTTTTTAGTAGGACTCTCAAAAAAATAAAAATTTGAATCTAATTATCGACAGAGTAGCTATATCTGTAGCTATATCTGCTGTATCATGATTAATCGAGATTCTGGTAACAAGCACCAGCACATGGCTTTGAGACGGTACTTTGAGCGGAAAGTACTTTGATGAAATAACAACTTTGTCCCCTCGTGTTTAAATGACAACATTGGAATCAACTGTGTATTAGAGCAAAGATGAGTCAACGGATGGTTGAACCATTTGACATACAGTGCACGTCAATCTGCATAAATACATAATTATTCTGAATATTTTTGCTGGCCTGCTGTCGGTGGTGTCTGTTCGTGAAAGGCTTTGAACGGTTACAATCCTCGCTCACTCCTGGTCATCGATCCTGTTACAAAGAATCCTTAAAAATAACACAAGTACATGAGTAAACATTATTCTTACACTGAGACCAATGCAAGAAACAAACCTCTTTGTAACATTCTAAACGCATGCAGAGAAAAAAGGCTTAAAATAACAAGAACTCATTAGCAACTGTACATTGTCGGGATTGTACTAGACAATGGAGCAGCTGTGAGTTGAAGTGATTACATTCTCAACAAGCTTCTCCAGTGTCTCCAGTGCCATTCTGCACAATGGCAGTGAACACACCTGAACTAATTTAAAAAAAAAAAAAAACATTAAAATGCCATATGTTTTTGAATGCACTTCCGCCTGTAAGCCGGAGATTTCTATTGGTGCTTGCTTTAGCAGGGCCATCAAGCCGCTATTGTTGATAATGAACAGGTGAGATTTGTATGTGCACTTTGTGTAAATGGTAGGGGTTTTTTTTTTAAGTCATTTTTGCCTGATGTAGGAGTAAAAAACAAGTTGCATCCAGCTAGGCAAAAGTGGTACTTACTCTATGCAGCTGTCAAGTACATTCATAGGAGGTTCTAAGTGCACTGGGCATCCAGCACTGTACATAGTTGAGAGCCAGCCAGTAATTTAGACCCATCATGAATAATCAGCAGCTGTTAGCTTTAAACTTCTTTGTTGAATATGTGGGTCTCGGCTGGATTGAGCCAATGTTTCACACACATGCACACACACACACACACACACTTTATTTGTGCAGAGCCTGTTGTGCCCGAGAGGTGGACATGACAGGTTAGCTAATGCCTCCGCTGTAATTTTCATGGCTGCAGGTTTATGCTGTTGTTGTTTTAGAGAGCATTATATTAAAATGTCAGCCATAGAAGCGGCTCTGTTCATGGCAGTGCTGCCCAGGTGGCTGCATAAAACACCACGGCACACACTCAAGAAACATGAAGTGGCAATATATTGTCTCATTTAAAGTGGCAATTTGTGGGATCTTTATATTTTGCCAAGGGCTGCATGTGGCGTTTGGTGCCAAAGCAGCCTTTGCTTTTGCAATGTTTGCACTGTGTCTTATTTTGTCAATCATAGGGGAATTTATTTCTGTGTATCAGCTCTCCTGTCATTGCTGGGAAGACTTCTTTAGGCATATACATGGGATTTGCCAAGAAAATGTTATTAATATAAAAATAATTTAAAATAAAAATAATTGTAATTTCTAAAATACAGTAAGAAGGATTTACAGAAAGTCTCTCACTGTCTGATAACATAATTTGCTGGCAATTGAGTATATCTGGAGTAATATAAAAACTTATCTTAAAATTTCATCAATTTTACTAAATTTTTTTTTTTTGTTTTTTACTACTACTACTGTTTACTACTTCTACTGCTACTACTACTATATAAATACCGTTGTGATTAATTGAAATTCTGAATAGTCTGTTAGTTTTTTGTCAAATAGTAATTAAAATTAAAGCAGCTTGTGTTACAGTAATGGGTCCTATCCTAATTTAAGTTTTTAGGACTTTCTTAAAAAACAAAACAAAACAACAACAACAAAACATCCCCCTCAAAAGTACCCTAAACCAATATATGTATAACGAGATTTCCAATTTCCGAGTGCAAGTGAATGCAGCGTTTGATTGGCTCTGAAAGCTACCTTTTGTACGTAATATTCGTTTGTGGCGCGTAAGAACTTTCTTGAGTGTTTGACAGATTGGTTTATCCGGTGAGTAATCCCCTTCGTACTGTAGGATGATAAAGTAACATAAAATTAAAGAAAATAAAAAATAAAACGTAAAAACCTTTACAAATCCTTGTTTACTGTATACAGTGCATGTCTTTAAATACCTACGTTTTTTTTTCAAACCACACCTCGACGTAAAGTAATTATGAAAGACAAAAACATTAAACACAAAAAGACAACATTAAAAATTCACGTTTCTGCTAACAAATACTGCAAAAGGTGTTCACACCCTGCGTACATCCTACGTAATCCAATGTACGATTACGTGTAAGTAGATGTTAATGTATGAAACGGAGAATATCACACACACGTTACTGTCTCTAGACTTAATTTTAAGTCTAGAATTTTAAAATGTGCTTTCAAAAAAATATTAAACACACTGTGACACTGTGCTCTACCGCATGTTTGCTGGGCGTACAGCCCAAAAGTTTCAGAGATAAAGAGGCTAAAAATATAATATCCCTAGCCTGGCAACAAAGATCATATTTTATTATGCTAATTAGTTGGAACACTCGAATGACCTCCTAAAGTTGAGACATTTCTTTTTTCTCCTTCAGCTTCTGTGTTTCATTTAGGGTTTTTTTTTTTTTGACAGCGTATAAACAAAAAGTTAAAAAAAGAAAAATCAAATGAAAAATATTCAGGAGGATGTTGTTGTTGCACCACAAGTGACAAGTTAAAAAACTGTAATGTCTATTTTTTACATGATGGCTGCTACTAAACTTTGTGGACCATTACCATGGAATTCAACGACCCATTAATTTCTGATCTTTTTATTGTGATACATGGTGACACCAAGCTGGTTAGCTTTAT